CTCACATTATGAAGTGGAATTTCGTTAAGAAAATTACCCTTTAAATTATGTTTAGAGTACTTAATTTTCTTGTACAAAACATTCCAATTAAATTCATCTTCTTGCCTCAATAATAATTTCCTAGGATTCAAATTAGACCACGCAACTTCATCAGTTGGGGTTAAATGATCATGATCATGATGATTCTGAGACATAATTTCTCGTTTCCAAGTCTCATTTTTTGATGTTAAAAATTCATATCTTAAAGTTTTTGTTGATAAATTGGTGATAGTGTTACCACACTGCTTTACGGTGCTAAAGCTAAACCCAGGTAACAAAATCAAGAAACAAAAACAAGCTAATAAAACGTGATTTTTTAACAAAAAATCCATTTTTTAAAAAATCAAAATCAAAACTAAGATATTGAATTTCAAAATGAGATACCCAGATGTTTATTTATATAAAAAGATTCAAACTTTAATTGAATAAAAACAAAATATGACGACAAATTCAAGCCAAAATCTAAAGAACAGTCACCCAATTGGGACAATTACAGTCCCGTGAAAGCTAAGAATGATTTCTTGTGAAGAATTATAAGAAAAAATAAAAATGAGAAGAAAAACAAAAGCAGAGGAAGTGATGTAGAGAAGAGAGAGAAAAAGAATCACGGATCAATGTTACTTTTTGATTAACTAAAGTAATTATTTAGTAGAAAGTTACAATACATCACATCACATTATTTGGTATTTATAATATAACCAACTGATTACAGTAGTGTTATTAGTTAATTTATCTTATTCTTTATCTAATTTATCTACTAAATTAATGAGTACATGATGACATGTAAAATAGGGAAATGCTATCTATATTTATAAAAAAAATTACATAAAAAAATAAAATAAAATAAAATAAAATTATGGTGGATAATATGGATTTTTAAAATGTTTATTCTATTTTTAAAAACATATATATCATGAAGATAATACAAGTACAACTCATTTTAATGGATAAATACATTTTTTTTTTTTTTAGATGACACTATTTTATCTCATTTCTTATTTATCTACATTGATTTAAAATATCTTATATTGGTATATTAGTTAGGAAAATCATATTTTTCTTAATATTTTAATTGATAGTGTTAATTTTACTGTACAGAGTAGGTAGACTCGAGATGAAACAAATTTTTGGTTCAACATCAAGGATAGTTTGGTACTCTTAAATAGTGTTATTAGTAAGCACGAGAGATTATAAACATCCGTCCAGTATACTTTTGGTTCAATGTCAAGGGTACTTTGGTACTTTTAAATAGTATTACTAAATTCAAACTTGAAGCTTACTAGCGTTATTAATTTATTATTGTATCGTTGTGTCAATGTGTCTCTTCCCTCAATCATGCACCACTGAAGTTCACATCCTAGAAATATCACAATCTTCTTTTCTCTTTGCTTGAAAGAAATGATTTCTTACATTCCTATCTAGTGGCAAGTTTTATTTTGTATCCCTCTAGATCAGATTGATAAAATAAGGGCTTGTTTGGCATCATTTTTTGTTTTCAATTTTCTGTTTTTTTTAAACTAAAAACCAAAAAAACAGGAAACAAGAAACAAGAATAAGGTGTTTTTACTTTTCTTTAGTCAGTTTTTAAAATTATCATGATTTTAATAATTCTAAATAATTTTTGATTCATTATATGACATATATAATATACTTTTAAAAAACAAAAAACCAAAAAACAGAAAACCACAGCGATGTCAAACGAACCCTAAATAAAGTAATGTGTTTTATTGAATGTCTATGCCCATTACCTATATATATATATAGTTGAAAATTAGCTTGAAAGAAATGACCGAAGATCTAGAAATTCCCCACTCATTATTGTATCCATAATATTCTATTCACGAGCCATGTATTCTAGATGCTTTTAATGTGAATTATTCTCTGGAATATTTAAATAGATAATTTTAGAGAATATATGGCTTGATTTTCTCAAAAACTCCTAGAATGTGCACAAATACACCATCAAAATAATAGGTAATGATTTTCTCAATTAATAGTTAAGCTAGTCGTATAAAAAAATTCCGCAAACAAGGAGTATGAATCGTGTGATGATTTAGCTTTAACCAAATAATGAGCTCTAATAGTTAAAACTTTACTTCAAAAGTGATAAAATTTTAACATACTAATATTTTTTTTTAATCATTAAGCAGCATAATAGAAATGCATCTTTAAAAAGGTAGTAAAAAGCAGCAATGACGACTAAAGTTTTTCTTTTAAAAAAAAACTTATTATTGTCTTTTTTGTTGTTTGAACCTAAAACAAAGATCCCAATTTCTAAATATAATAGCAGTCCCAATAGAAAAAATGGAAACACCAATAAGTGACAAAAAGATGAGCTTAATTAAATAATTAGGGAAGTTCTAAGTGCTTTTACAAACCCATGCACATGCTATTGGAAGAAAGATAGTACTAGTATAGTATGTTGAAAGACCGTGAATAACATAATTTTATACTCATTTTGTTTAAAAATAGTTGTCAAAAATTAGTTGTCATATTATCTCAACAGTGTTTTATTAAAAAAAAATAGTCTTAGAGTAATGTAAGTTCGTCACATTTTAAATTAATTGAATTTCTTTTGTACGTAGCTAAACAAAATTGGAGGACGGTCGAGAAACAATGTCTTTCGACGTCAAATAATCTTTGATTGATCATGGTTTTAAACAGAATTTGATAATTAAAGCCCTTATGAAATTACGTAATGGGGAAAACAAAGCTCAATCTAACACATATTTATGCAAGAATACATTAGATTCTTATGATGACACAATCATAAAATAGTTTCAAGGTTTACCAAAAGCAAATTGTCACTACATGCATGTTGCTTTTCCCCAAATTAATTAAACGACATACAATAGGGTTGAAAAGAGTGTTACAAGTACAAAGAAATGAACTTGCTTGCATGTAAACATGTGACAATATTTTCAAAAAAAAAAAAAAAAAACACATTTTGATGACATTGTCAATATAATCATTAATCAAGTAAGTATTTGGCAATTTTTCTAAAAAAAAAAAGTAGCCCTATTTGGCAATGTTCTCACCAAACAACTATCTAGGACTTTGTTGCTCCATTGTCTAAGATGTCTTGTGCCAAAATATTCACAGCTAGGCCTATTTGTTGTGCATATTAATGTGTGTGGAGTGCATTACCGTACGTAACATACATCGATCTAATAGAGCAACAACAATTTTTGTAAGAGAGTGTGTGTAATTGGACTTTGCAATTTATTCCAAACTAAAACTTGTACTTTATTCAACTACGGAATAACCTATGTTCTATTTGATACATAATTTTTTGATTTTATACTATTATGTTAAATGTTGTTATTGTTAGTATTAAATTATACTCGATACTATTTTTTTTGTATAAACTTTTATATAATACGAATTTAATAATATAATTTTTCATATATTAATGGTCAAATATGTGCGCTAGCATGTGTATAAAATCAAATATTATTAGTTATTTAGATTTAGATGGAGTAATTTTAAGCAAAGTTGAAATTAATTTGATATAATTGTCACCAACCCTTGATAACTAATATTTTCTTGAGAGAGTTTAAATTCAATCAAGAATCTATTATATCCCAAATTCTAAATAGTCCGTAGACAATATAGTATTTCACATGTGATAAGCAAGGGGCCAACCCTATCTATCTATAGTATGAGTAATAAAGTGAAAGGTTGGTTTTTTCTTTTTCCTTTTTCCTGCCAACTTTTTTTTTATCTCCTATTATTTCCATGATTTTATCCATTTTGTACACTTTATACTAATATTTTTTTTTATTATTAAAATGTAAATAAATTTCAGAAAATAAAAGGAGAATTGTGCCGTATAGATTTCTTATATGGTACACGAAATATGATTGTGTCTCCCAACTTGTAAACAAATTTAACTTGTGATGGTTACCTTACAAAAGGTACGTAATCAAGATAATCAAGTAACTAACCAAATGCTGCATTAATTTGGGCTGGGCCACACTTTACCAACTTTTCTATACGCTATACACTAAGAATTGTTGAGCACAGATTTGGGTCATGACTCATGAAAAAAAAAAAGGTTTGGCCCAACATATTTGTAGGTTGATCCATGGCAACAGCCTAGCATAAGCCTACTCAGCATTTTAAAGACATTGAATGGATTATGCGGATCCATAATAAGAAGTATAATTTATGAACCTTTATTTGAATTTATTAAGGTGAATAAAATAGGATCATAGCCATTTATTTCCGACGTTAATCTTTTCTTTTTACCTTAATTATGTTTTTTTTTATTGCATACTAGATTGAACAGAGTGAGGGATAGTTCAAGTGCGTAAAACTTTATTTCTGATTTTAAGTGATCTTGGAATCGAATCTCATCATTTGCCTTTGTAGCTCTCCAACCCTCCCCCCCCCCCCAAAAAAAAAAGGAAAGATTGAACACGCTAAATCAGCGATTAGTGAACATAAGAAACTCTCTATAATATTCATAACTGAAAATATTTTAATTCAGCAATTTATTGGATAGCTAGATTGCTATTATAAATACTTTACTTTGTTTTAATATATGTTAGTTTTGATTTTGCACGTATGTCAGATCATAAATTCAATCATAAACATTTTGAAAATATATACTAAATATATTAAAATGAATTTAACAATTCCACATAACTATGTTTCTGTAACCTATAATAAAAAATATTAAGCAAAACAGTTAAACCTTAGCATCTAAAGAAAACACAAGAATTATAATTTAATGGTTTATCAAATGAAAAATATAATTAGAGGTAGTCCCTCAAATTTCACACCCACAAATTCATATGATTTGTGTGGTACACAAGCTCTAATTGGATACATATCTTTATCAATAACAAAAACAATGACACATAGATTTAACAAAATAAAAATGTAGGTCCAACAAGCTTAAAAACTAACCAATAAGATATGATCTCTTATCTCTTATATCCTATCTCTTTATCCAACACACATTTTGTATTCTCTGCCACCAAAAGAACTGTCATATTACAGAAACTTGGATACCCTGAATTTCAGACCAGTGAGAAAGTGAGTTTGGAGCAAAAATGGCAGCTTCATTACAAGCATCAACAACCTTCTTACAACAACCCAACAAAGTAGTTTCTTCAAGAAACACCCTTCAACTTAGGTCTACTCAAAATGTTTGTAAGGCTTTTGGTGTAGATTCTGGTGCTGGTAGAGTCTCTCTTTCTCTTCAGTCTGATCTTAAGGAGTTGGCTAACAAGTGTGTTGATGCTACCAAGCTTGCTGGCCTCGCTCTCGCCACCTCGGCTCTTATCGCCTCGGTATACCGCCTTTTCTTATTCTTATTTCACTCGCATTTGATTTGTTAGTATGTTTGCATTACAGATTCATGATTTTGCAGGAACCTATAAGTTTAAGGTTATGTTTTTGCACTTTGTTGATTGTGTTTGTTATGCTAGGCTCAAGGATTTATGTCAAATTGATAGTAATAGTGATTAATTTGGTGATTATGCTTATATAGCTAGTAAGTTCTTGAGAAAAAGTGCAAGGAAACTTTATACTACCTCCGGTCCAAATTACTCGCAACTTTGGAATATTTTATATCTCACAAATAATAGCCCAAGGTTGCGAGTAATTTGGACCGGATGTAGTAGTATGATCTGACTCAGAAAATGTGAACTAATTTAGAAGTGTACAAGTAGAAATTTTTTGAAATTTGTCATTTCAATCAAATAAGTCTAAAGATTAATATGTCAAAACTCAAGAGTTTCTATTTACAGAATACAAGAGATGTATGTTGTATAGTACTACAGAATGTAAACTAGTTGATCCAATCACTTGTTAAAAATTGTCAACTTGTTAAAGCATTTGTTCTGTAAGCAAGCACACTGGTAGATTGTGCTGCTGATACGAGGGGGCGTTCACCCCGGTTTCATAAATCCCATACATGAATGTAACGTTCTGCACCTGCAAGGCCAGGCCGTGCAGTCGTGTACTATGCCTCACTAATGTAGAACAACATATTAATGATCAAATCGAATTTAAAATCACCTCAAGATAGCATTTTCTTGCTTTTAGACGTGCAGGTTATATAATTTTGCTCTTCTATTTGATTAGTACAACATAATTAAGATTGGAAGAATAATGTATTTACATTACAGTTCATTATCTATAATGTTTGATCATTAGTCAAGTTCAGGTATGATCACGAGTCTGTTTGATTATTGTCAGACAACTGTAAGATAGAAAATAAAGATAATATTGCACAGCCTTGAAATTGAATACTTCACCACATTTGTTCTGAATATAAGGGCAATCCTATTTTATACTTATAAGACTATATTGGCTTTGAAGTCTCAGCATTTTTCTTAGATTATGTAAAGGAAGTGACTGTGTTTGTGTTATGTTTCAGGGGGCAAATGCCGAGGGAGCGAAGAGATTGACCTATGATGAGATCCAAAGCAAGACATACCTCGAAGTCAAAGGAACCGGAACAGCCAACCAATGCCCAACCATTGCAGGTGGAGTTGACTCCTTTGCCTTCAAGCCAGGCAAGTACACTGCCAAGAAATTCTGCCTCGAGCCTACTAAATTCGCTGTCAAGGCCGAAGGCATCAGCAAGAACGCCCCACCAGACTTCCAAAACACCAAGCTCATGACCCGTCTAACCTACACCCTTGATGAGATTGAGGGACCCTTTGAGGTTGCACCTGATGGCACTGTCAAGTTTGAGGAGAAAGATGGCATTGACTACGCTGCAGTCACAGTCCAGCTTCCTGGTGGTGAGCGTGTACCCTTCCTCTTCACCATCAAGCAGCTTGTTGCCTCAGGAAAACCCGAGGCCTTTACTGGAGAGTTCTTAGTCCCATCATACAGAGGATCATCCTTCCTAGACCCAAAGGGCAGGGGTGGATCCACAGGATATGACAACGCCGTGGCATTGCCTGCAGGAGGAAGAGGAGACGAAGAAGAGCTCCAAAAGGAAAACATCAAGAACACTGCTTCATCAAAAGGGAAAATTACCTTGAGTGTGACTTCAAGCAAGCCCGAGACCGGTGAGGTTATCGGAGTGTTCCAGAGTCTGCAGCCATCAGACACTGATTTGGGAGCTAAGGTTCCCAAAGATGTGAAGATTGAGGGAGTTTGGTATGCACAACTTGAGCAATAGATTGCAGGGTAATTTCTGTATGATTATTGAGCTCTTTTTGTTGTAAGTTTGTAAGGGATTTCTATGACTTCTATTATATTAAGGAGAAACTTATAACCCTGCTTCTTGTATATTATCAGTTCTTTGTAGATTTCATGTCTCAAACTTTTCATGTCTCATATTGAAATTTATATCAACAATAAATTGTTTGTGCTACTTGACTTTTAATGTGCATATACAAGAATCGGTCTACTATGTTATGGTAGTATAACCTCAAGATTATAAGGTGAACGCCTCACCAACTACACCAAGTAATACTTGGAAGGTATCCTTAACGTTGTTATGGTAGTATAAGAAATAATCCGGAAGAGTATATGGTATCCTGAATCACTAAAAAAGAAATATGCACTTTAATTATAGGAGCCAAGCATGCAAGCACATGCATACACTTGGGACTCTTTTTTTGTTATTCTTAAAATTTCTCAAAATTCACATGAAAGCATGGATTATAACCTTTGATTTTAGGCCAATTTTCGACTTTTTTGGACCCGGATAAAAAATAGATTAGGATGCTTCCCGTAGACCACTCGAAACTCCAAGAGGCCATTTTTGTAGTTGAAATTGTCCACTTTGCAATTACACTATCAATTTTAGTCATTTATGTATACTCTTCCGTTCATTAATTTAAAGGCACAATGAACTTTATGTGACAAACTAGTGTATATATATGGTTACATACAATACTAAATACTTATGGCAATTAAAAGTAACGTTTTAAATACAATAATTTAGCATGACTCGAGTTTGAAATGAATATAACCCGACTTCATCAAACCCGACTCGAACACCTAAATTGACACCTTTACAAACATCTTAAATATAATCTTTTGTGAATCTTGGTATACCTTTATACAAAGTTTTGTTTAATTTTTAGTATTTTACACTTGTGTTGTTGTATTTTTGTAAAATTAGTTCAAATAAAATAGGTTCAAAAGTTTTTTCAATCAATCGTAAACAAAATCACACACAATAATAACACAAATCACTGATTAAGATAGTTTTTATATTAAGTTCACAAAAAAAAATAGAGATAAAAATAAATTAGATAAGTTTTTAGTTAAAATAATTTTAGATAAAATTTGTTAAATTTGTTTAATCACTAGTCCAAAAAAAAAATAAAAAAATAAAAAAAAAATTGTAAACTTGTAATGTTATACTTTTGGACGTTTTGGTCGGCCCAAATAGAACACCGGCAAACTCTTTGCTAGTCAAACAAATAGAGTGATGTTGTTCAGTCAAAATTACCGGGAGATATTGAGCTACTCGTTTCCAAAAATTAAGGTAAACATAAAATTTTATGTATTTTCTGATTTATGCAGTTTTATTTGTGTTGTGAAATTCTGGTCGTTTAAAATTTGTCAGCAATTTCGAAATTTATCTTGTTTTAGTTCTGCAAATTTGAGGGGTAGACAAATGCCATGAATTCAATTTAAGCAGAATGATTTAATCCTTGTATTATAGCTGTTATTTTCAATTGCTATTATTTAAAGTATTAATCTTTGTTCTTTGACAGTTAGGGTTTTGGCAAAGACTATTACATGATTAATTTTCCCCCAAATTGAATTAAATTTAGTAGAAAAACAATCCCCTTTTAATTTTACTGATAAAGGTGTAATTTTAGGTTTAATTTCTAAGTTTTGTTGTAATATGATGCTATAATTGCAATCCAGTGGTGTTCATAATTTTGGGTTTTCATTGCATATACTCGTAATTATAATTGCTTATATTAGGCTTACAATAGAGTGTTCAAGATCATAGCTTGGTATGTTTAATTTCAAAATTATTGGGGTTCCACTTAAGTTATGATAATTTTGTGCTTAAAGCTTACTGTGCTGGCTAAGAAGTGAAAAAGGTCATTGCTGTATGCACCAATTGGTATTTGTTACCCCCTAATCGGAATATGTTCGAATTGATTGTCTGTTGAAATATTGGATTGTTATGGTCTGGTTGATTCTCTCTATGTGTAAGGTATATTTGCTCATGGTAACATAGTGACATTATTCGTTTTCGTGTGATAGCGGATGTCCTCATAAGATCATTCACGATTGGCATGGAACCGTTCACAGAGTTCACATCTATTGAGATATGCTTTTGAGTATTAGATAGTTGATGTAATCTGTGCCTGTGTATCTGTCTGTTAGTATTTTCATTTGCAGGCTCTATTTTGGTTCCTTAAGTAGGAGATGAACCTCGTCTTGTGGTATAGACTTATGTATCATGTATTCATGTGAGACTTTGAATGTATTTTGTTCGACTTGTCACCTGTCTTAATGAGCATGGTTAGCGGAATGTTGATCAATGTTTGAGACATTTGAGTATGATTGAGAGTAGCGTTTTTGTCACAACTCTTGTGCAAATTCTCAGTTTATCACACACTAGTAATTCACCTTTTTATGGGCTCATGACCATTCTTACGAGTTATGATGTTGCCTCATAATCCTTCTAATGGACTCTAAAGAATCGAATTGATTAATTGATAATTCATATACTATGAACTGCTAGCTTTTTAACATTTTTAGCCCAAATATTGAGTTGGAGACTGCTGCCTGCTGCATAACATCAAAGGGTATTGTATTTACTACATATTCACCTTCGCAGGAACTGCAATAATGAGTTCTGGACAGAACCAGAAGTCTAGTATAGACCATTCCCTCTCATTTGAAGATGTCTCCAAGTTATTCTCTTTGCCCCTCTCTGAGGCAGCTGACATTCTTGGTGTCTCCTCGGGTGTTCTAAAGAAAATATGCAATGAGAATGGTCTTGAGAGATGGCCACACCGCAAGTACCTTGCTGGAAAGAGCATTGAAGACATAAAGAAGGAAGCCGCTAAAGAGAAAAATAAAGCATTGAGAGGAGTTTCACCAAAGAGCAATGTGACAACCCCTTCAACCATAACTTCTACTCCAGGCTCTCTTGCCAAGGATAATAAGAGTCCTAAACCTACTCCTGAGATTTCAAAGTCGCAAGGTAACAACAATGCACAGCAGAACCAAGGAAGCAAGACTGTGGCCACTTGGCGGTCCCATCATATGCTTGCTTCTGGTTTGGCAATAGAAACCAGCACCTCACCAGACGAGTTCAAATATGGATTCCCATCAGCTGGCTTATCAGAGTGCAGTAACAGATGGTGGGGAAGTAGTAATGATAGTAATGATGGAGTATTGAAGGATGATGATACAAAAACCAGCTCTGAAGTGAAAGATGCCTCCAAGGTTCAAGTGGATGGAGTATCGAAGGATGATGATACAAAAACCAGCTCTGAAGTGAAAGATGCATCCAAGGTTCAAGTGGATGGAGTATCAAAGGATGATGATACAAAAACCAGCTCTGAAGTGAAAGATGCCTCCAAGGTTCAAGTGGATGATAGTGCTAGCATGTGTGAGGAGAGAACTGACAGCATGGAGGAGGATTCCAAGAGTGATAAGAAGGATGAAATTTCATTATCAGCTACGAGGAAACGAGCTCTGGAGGAAGGAAAGAAGGCGCTAAACTTTAGTGTTTTAAAGAAATATGGGGCTGATAAGCTGAGAAACGAAGAGAAGATATTGCTGCGTCGATTATATCAAACAAGTTAAAATCCTTAGTTAAGGAAAGTAGTTAAAAGGAAAGCTCCCTTGTTGCCTTCCAAGCAGCGTACTAGAACATGCCCATGTCTGTCAATGGCATATCACGCTGTAACCTGTTTTAGAACTTCAAAATTTAGCATTCTGTAGTCAAGTTTTTGCTGCCCTTTCAGAAATTATGATTCGGAATTTACGAACCACTTGTACAACTCACTGGCAAACTCATAAGAGAGTGCTTGTCCTGTAGAATACGATTTCTATGTTGCACGAAAATGGGAAGAGAACAAAAATGTAGGCACGTTAACGGAAGGGAATTGTGGTAGTGCAAAAGTTGAATTGTTGATATGATAATTTTTTGTAAGAGTTGTAAATTGGGTGTGGAAGTTCAAAAGGATGAAGAGTGAGGTTGTCAATTAGTTGGGCCTTGGCCCATTACAGTAACCCATTGTTTACATTCCAATTGTTTCATGAAAACAACTTGTATAACAAGTGTATAGAATTCCGTTTTCATCATTTGTCATTGTGGCTTCCTCTTAAAAAAAAACTTGTGGTTATGAACTTATGATTATGGATTTCAATTTTTAGGGTTTAGAGCTTCGATATCATGCTAGGAATTGATTTTCTTTGAGTTTTATTAACGTTAAGTGAGGTTTTAATTAGCTACATTAGGGCCTAAACTAACATTGGCCCAAAAAGCCTAATAGCTAAATACATAGAGGCTCAACAAGTGTCCAATTGATTCAGCATTTAGTTGAGCTTATTAAGAATTAAATCACATTATTGCAAACCAACAAAGCAAAGGACCACCATAACCCAAAAAAAATGAAAGGATTTGTAATTTGTATGTATAATATAATATTGACAAATGTATACAGTTGTTGATGACAAATTCTGACACTAATACTGTTTCTTGTTTAAAGTTTAAACCAAATGTAATTAAGAAAAAAAAGTAGCAATTTCACCAAAAAAAAAAAAAAGTAGCAAAGCTAATTAATAAAACAGCTAGACAATAGTACTAAGAGGTCCAGCTTTATAAAATTGGACCTACATATGTACTGCTCGTTATTTTAACCAAGCTTATTGTTCCCATAATTTCATGTAAACAAACATTACTTACTTTGAAACAGATTAAAGTTTAATATTTTAATCTTAATCCTATTTTTTTTGCCTAACTTATCACAGACAATTGTACAAAATGATAAGGTTATAAATGACCGAAAGTGACCTTACATATATAAAGTAAACAAAATTAAAAAACAGTAAAAATGGGCCACAAATTATAGTTTAGTTATGACATGCATGGTGTAACAAGAGTAAAAGTGTAAAACTATATACTGACTTATCTCAGATTTTTGTTCATACCTCAAAACGGCCCTTGATATATTTGATTATCTGTAGTCCGTACTATTCAAGATGGATTTGTTATTTCTTTGTGTCACATTCATATTAATGAGTTAGGAACTTACGATCATATGTTGATTATAATCTACCCTACCAAAGATTATTTTTTGTATTCGCTACAAGTACGATAACTATAACATTGTAATATACTTGTATTAGGGCATGTTCTCATTGACTGAACTCAGTTGAACTGAACTGAACTGAGCTGAGATAAGCTGAACTGAACTGAATATTTTATAAGAAAAGGAAATTAGGAGCTGAACTGAACTGAATTGAACTGAACTGAACTGAACTAAACTTCAACGTATGAGAACAGACCCTTAGTCTATGTTATTGTTTACAAGGTAAATAATATCAGGTCGAAATTAAGATTATATTTAGAGGAAATTATAAATAAGTTATCATTGGATATGTGCGAAATTCATGTGAGCTTATGCAACATTAAAATACAAAATCCCCAAATATCTATGAAATTCTGTGTTCTTATTTGTGTTAACAAGCCAATAAGAAGTGCTCGAGTTAAAATGTGACACATTACATTTACATTTACTTGTACATTCGAGCTTAAGGCTAGTCTCAATATTTGCAAGAACTACTTAATTTAAAACTTGAGTTTATTATCAATCAAACATTCTTAATCATAAAGCTATAAGGTTAGTAGTAACATCCGATCCTATTACTAAAATTAATGTGCAAGTATTGTGTAAAATTTTACTAACATAACAGCCACCAAGGTAAAAACAACTCCTACACGAACATGTGCTAAAAAAGGAAAAATTAGAAAATAACACCACAAAAAAGCCACGATTTTGATAATAACACCATATAAAAAAAAGTTTTGATTATAACACCTCCAAAAATCTCAAAAATTTGATTTCACCACCGCATAGAGGATGCCGTCAAAAAAACCGTTTGTGGACCCTACTAAATACACGTGTCACTTATATATTGGTTATAATTTTTTTTTTTAAAAAAAAAACCTAAACCCTTAGCCCAGCCACGAAGCTCACCACCGGCAGCCCTACAGCCCACCACCAGCACTACCCCCCACTGTCGCCAAGCCACACCAGTGTCCACCCAGCCACCCCCACCCTCCTTAACCAACCTCGAAAATCCACCACAGCTACCCAAGCGGCCAAGCCACCGCTTGTGTCCCCAGCCCCGCAGCTCCGGCCACCAGAACCCAACCCCAGCGCCGGCATCGGGGTCTAGCCCCTACCCTACATCCACCGTGAGTCCAGCCCCAACCCAAACCCAACGCCAACCCCAGCGCGACTCCAGCCTCAACCCCAGCCCCACCGCGACTCCAGCCACCACCTCGAAAACCCAATTTCCGTCCCGATCCAGCTTCCTTCCCCTTACCAGTCCCTTTTTCCGGCAACCTCGCTTTTCCTACGTTCCGATTACGGCCCCCATCTCCTTCCTAAGCCTCAATTTCGGCCCATCTCCCCATCCCTTTTATGTCCCGATCCCAGCCCCCTTCCTCTTCCCCGATCCCTTTTCCGGTCACTCCCCTTCCCCACGCTCCGATTTCGACCCTAGCTCGCAACTCCATAAACCCTAGCCACCACAAAAATGGCGACTAATGGTTGAAATCGACCAAGTTAGGGCCTAAGTGGTCAAATTCGACCCTAAATTGGTCGATCTCGACCACTAGTTGCTAATTTTGTTGTGAAATGGAAGAAAAATGGTGGTGGTTGTCGGTTTTGAGTGGGAAAAGGAGGTTGTGGGGGTTGTTCAGTGCGAATTTCGTGGTTTTCGGTTGTTGGAGGGATGTCGGAAGTGGTTCAAGGGGTGTCGCAGGGGGTTTTCGGTGGCTGGAGGGGTGTCGGAAGTGGTGTAAGGGATGGGAATTCGTTGTGTATGGTGGCGGAGGTGGTGGTTGCGGGGGTTTGTCGATGCGAATAACGTGGTTGATGGTGGGGCAAGGCCGAGCTGGGCAGGGGTTCGTGGTTTCACCGGTTTTGGTGGGGCAGGGGTACCGACGGCTTGGGTTAGCCTGTCGGTGGTGGTGGACAGGTGGTGCCAGTGGTGGGGTTGGGCTGGGTTTGGTTGTTAAGGGTTTTTTATTTTTTTTATATTAATTTTTTTTAAACCAATAGGATAATGACACGTGTCTGTTATGGGCCCACTAACGGATTCCATCCAAAAATCCGTTAAGTGGTGGTGAAATCAATTTTTTGGTTTTTTTTGTGGTGTTATAATAAAAGTTTTTTTTTAGGTGTTATTATCAAAATTTGTGTTTTTTTGTGGTGTTATTTTCTAAAATTTCCGCTAAAAAAAGCAGAAAGTAACATCACAACTATTCCTTAATTAAGGAGTCAATATCAACAACAAAGTGACAAACACATGACTTACATGAAGAACAAAATTGATACAATATGACAAGCTTAATTATTTGAACATCTGACAAGAAGTAAAAAAAAAAACTCCAGCAAAGATCATAATAATCTAATGAGTATACACTCAATACATAGGTGATATATGTGTTCGTATATAAGTTGGTGATCAAATATTACTTAATTCACCCTGTCATAATAGTTATCAATGACACGTCAGCATATGCATGCACGTTACAAGGATCTTCATAGATCGAGCTGAGTAACTAAAAGGACATCCTTATGCCGTATTTGTTGAACAACTAAGAATATAAATTGAACCGATAAAAAAGCTAATTCATAATCGACATACCACATAACACTATAAGTGACTTTCAATGTGATAGATACACCCATAAAACGAGGACAAGCTATTATATTCATGTTTTCTTTCCTCACTTAGGTACATACAATGCACTAAACCATTAAATAAGGAGATCGAGATAATTATGGAACCTAAAATGTTTCACATAAAAATTTAACGAATGACAAAAGAGGCTTTCTTGATAATATAGCTAACAAGTTTTGGGTTCCACCTATGTGAATCACGAGGTAGAAAAATGATAGTGTGAATTTGGACAAAATTGGTGCTTATTTTTGGCCCGACAAATGGAACAATCACTATTTAACTTACGTTTCTTTTGTTTGGAATATGTATATATAGTATGAAGTACTTAACTAGCTAGGTCCATGAAATTTTTTAGTATAAACTAGGCTTTAAACAAAACAACAAAGGAGAGGAGGCGTGACAAAAAATTAAGCTTAGTTAATGAGGGGAGATTAAATGAGTGCTTTTAATTAAGATAATAATAAAATTACAATAAGCCAAGCTAATACGTGGTGTAATCTAGGAATAGATACTCCTTCACCCATTAATCAAGGGATTATGTACTTTTATATATGTAATGAGATTTGTTTGTATATCATCCATTAAGGTGTATGTTGCTTTGTTTCTTTGTATACATATACATACATTGATGACCATGTACAGATTATATAATATATAGTACTCGTCCTTAATTAATTAGTATAATAGATGCCAACTAGCTTAGTAAAGTTATAAGATAGTGTCCATCCATCAATTAATAGAATTTGAAGCATACATGTAAATTAACTTCGTGGTAAGTCTTTGTGACAGAATCCACAAATACCTAGATTAAAACATATTAGATGTATTTTAAATTAACAGACATTGCCAGTTATATAAGAGTTGTAAAAGTACCGATTAAAGATGAGAAGACGAGAAATGTGTGGATATGTATAAGCTAGATATGGATGCATGGAAGTTTTGGCGATGCACATTGCACATGGGATAGTATTAGGCTTGGTGATGGTTGGCACCACAAGCTAAGGAAGTAGATGGCCAAGGGGGGGCTCCATTGCATGACAAAGAGTTGATGAAATAGTGGGTTAAGTCATAAATAATAATGGTTAGCTAGCTCCCAAACAAAAAGAGAAACAGGACAGTTAGATTAGAACCCATGGTCCTTGTTTCAACTGTACTAAGCCCTATCATTTGATGGGACCCTTTAATTTATAGGGGTTGTGATCTTATTATAGATGGTAGGATATATAGGGTTCATAGATTTGAAAATGACTCTATTTTAGCCCTAGCTTTATTGGTGAATTCGGAGCCATTCGTGCTCACTCTAACAATCCTCCATGCAAAGATTTTTGTTGTTTTTATTCAATGCACCTAATTTAATTTTCCATCCCTTCTTTTTTTATTTTATG